TTTAGGCACTTAAATTTCGTTGGCGGGAGTAAAAACCAAATATGCAATTAAATAAATTGCTTAAATAAATGTATTTCTAATTATTCAGTTTACTTTAAAAACAATTTTTGATTAACAGATACTTCTTTGAAGTAACTCTAAACAGAACACTTATTGCTAGGTTTGTGAGAAAGTAAGCCCCTTTTCCCATACATGAACTTGTGATTCAAACACAAAATTGATCCACATGCTTTAACTACTGTTTCTTTGCACTGTTTATAACATGTAAAGTTATTTAATTTAATACTTAACAAAAGTGAATTTTGTAGTTATCTATGAGTTGCATATTTTGGTAGTTGAAGTACTGTATGTATGTCATTCCTCTACGTTGTTAGTGGAATAACGTTTTTAAAACTTATTTTTTACTATCAAAAAATGTTACTCAATGGCCATTGTTTTCCGATAATCTCTCAGTACATTATTTGCATCTGTTGTGCAACTGTATTTGTTATTGATTCAATTCTTGCTTATTTAAATATTAGAAGATTTAAAAAAAAAAATATCATTTCTATGTTACTGAATTTTTTCATTGGGGCCATTTTTACCTACTTGTCATTTGGGGCTATTTTTACTGGGGCATTTTTCCGGGGCCATTTTTCCTGGGCCATTTTTACCGGGGCCATTTTACCTACATTCTACCAGGAAATTAAAAACAAACGAAATTATTACACTCGGAACATTCAAATCAAATAACTTACCTATAAGAATGTGAGGCTGAATTGTATTAAATGCCGAACTAAAATCAAAGTACATGATTCTCTCACATGGATTAGTTTTCCAGTCATCTAAGTGACAATAAATTATCTGAAGTTTATATAGTATTGCAAACTGAAGAGGATCAAGATGATCTGAAACTGTTAGCTTTAAACTATTCAGTACAATTTTTTCAAAAACTTTCATAGGTACCGACGTCAATGCAACCGGTTTAAGATCGTTATAGCAGGGAGATGTAAAAAAATTAAAAAAAATAAAAATGTTTACATCTCCCTGGTTATAGCAGCTAATAGGGTGTCTTTTAGGAACTGGAATTAGACATGATGTTTTCCAAGCCAGCGGAAGTACATGAGAAGAGAAAACTAAATTAAAGATATAGGTAAAGATGTGCGAAAGCTGACAAGCACACACTTTCAGTACTCTTGGTAAAATCCTATCGGGACCAGCTGCTTTCAATGCCTTTAACCCTTTGAGATGTTTTGTTACACCTCTACTTCATCATCACAATCATATAATGAATCGTTAATCTTATGTTTAAGTTCCAAACATTCACCCATGAAATCATGTTTATTAAAAATCTATTGAAGAACTCATTTAATTCATTTGCATATTGATTGGACATATTGGCATTAGTGCTCCTATTTTCAGATGAATTGTACCCACTCACCTCGCGCATTCCTTGCCATACTTAATTGCTTCATGTCGTGTCATTTTTATATTCAAATTTGTTTTTACGAATTACTCGCTTGAATTCTTTCTGAATGATTTTAACTTGAGCTGTATCACCATTTTTAAATGCTTTTCTTTTTTGCTTAATCACTTCCAAAACATTTTGGTTTATCCAAGGCTTAAAATTACCATAAACCTCTATTTTCTTGACTGGAATTACATTTTCAGTACAAAAAATGACATAAGCATTAACAGTTTCTGTCAGTTCGTTCACGTTTGTACTGTTCTTTTTGAAGATGTTCCAGTCTGTCATCTCGAACTCATAGCTGTTCAACTGACTCATCAGACCATTGTTTCACTGTAACAGCTTTTGGTTTTTGGCGGTGTACGGTACTTTTGGGCGGTATTTTGGTTGTAGCTGAACTAAGTTATGGTCTGATAGACCCAGGTTCGGCAGTTTTCTTGACACGAAGGCATCTTTAACATTTGAAAAACAAAGATCAAGGGTAGCCTCGCCCCTAGTACTACACTTAACATGCTGGTAAAAATAAATACTGCTTCTATTTAAAGTACAGTGGTTGAAGTCCCCGCTTATTATGATGAAGGCATCCGGGTGCAGAATTTCAATTTCACCTATAACATTGCTCAGTTCTAAACTCGCTTCTTTTGCCCGTTTTTTTATCTGTTGGTACGTATACAGCTACCAAAACTACATGCGAAAACTCCATTGGGATATAATACGGGCGTATAGACAGTACCATATATTCAATGCGAGGCAAACAGATAAACTTCTTTTATGTATGGAACAGTGTTTTAGTTCCAATTCTTGTGTATGGCTCTCAATGTATAAATTCACCTAACTTTGTATCCCTGGATAAAATGCAAAGCAAATTATTCAAGACGGCATTGGGTACCCCTAAGTATTGTAGATCAACATCATTGCTGCATGCTCTAAATCTACCTAAAATGAAAGATATTATTTTGTCTAATCAAATTGATCTCTTGTCACAACTGCTTGTTAATGATTCTAACTCTAGGTTACTTTATTGGCCTTTTTCTTAATTGCGAAGTAAAAAATAATATGTCGTATATAAGTAGGCCTACTCTCATTGACAGAATCAAGGGTAATATCGATAGAAATGTATCCTTTGTTTCTGTTATATTCAATAATGTATACAAGAAACGTTTAAAAGCTGATATAAAGAGTCACAATAACGTAAACCATGGAATCTGTGACAGTGTAAAGAATTGATTATACAATAACGATATTCATACAATCATTAACTTAGTTTTATTGTGTTTTATATATTTTTAACCTTCCCCAGCATGGGGGTATTTGTTGAATAAATTTAATTGAATTGATATTTAAGTAAGTTATTTAAAATGTGAATGAGAAATTACCCTGCCAGTATTATCGGACTGATAGTACATAATACTAATGATGCAATAAATGACTTTAAATCAGTATAACACTGACAGTAAATAGCGAAATATATTTGTACAAGTAAGCATACTACAAGCTGTACCGAACAAAATAAAAAAGCAATATGGGCGGACCGGTATGTCCATTTACGTTGCGCAAAGGTATACTAATTTAGATTAATAAAATCATATTTCTTTATGTGTAGCGAAACAACAATGAATACGTGTTTTGCTCCACACAAGATAGTGACGCCTATTATTTATCCATCATCGCATGGTAGAGACTATGCATCAATGATTTGTTTAAACAACACTGCTTATGAATACTTTAATTCTTTGCACACTGCCAATTATAGTTTATGTATATTGTTTATTTGAAATTGTAAAAGGCGTAATCCCTGTTTTCTTTCGCTAAACAGTAACTCATGAACAAGCACAGAGTTTTGGGTGGGGTGGGTGGTTATCCGCTAAATCAAGAAACTTTGTGGAGGATATTTTCCTTATTCAACATGTTTTGTCAAATCTTTACAAACAAAATTAAATTCAAACAAAGCTTGAGCTTGTAGTGGATTTATTGAGTCCCTTTATTTTTATAATTAATATTACAATATTGTTTCCCTACAGAATGTATACTTATATAATATATATAAAAAAGGGTTCATACTACTGGTTATAAATTGTGTTTTGCATCATATATACCACATAATGTACCGAAAGAATGTCCACAAATTGTGACATTCATTTGTTTTGCAATAAATTGATATTAAATTGAATCAATTTGCCATCTAGGCCCTATTTGTCATTTGTCATCAATTATTAAAATTCGTCGTGCGGAGACTTCCGATTAGAGTAGTTCCGGATATTATTATGCTGCCCTCTTGCGATGAGGTCTACAGCTGAACTTCGTAATGGAAAAGGTATGGAAATATCAAAACCCATAGCAAAAATAAGTCATGTTATATGACCGAGAATTTAAAGATTCGTCGAGTCACTATACTTAGCAGTTGCATTACTGTTAATGGCGTATAGTATACAGGTCAATTTCCATTTTAAAGAAATGAAATGTAAAATAAAATAATATGCATTTTACCCCCAACTTGAGACCTTTGGTACATGAATTTGGGTTCAGGGTTCGATATCATTGAGGTTTAGTAAGTTAAGTAAATGGACCTAAGATAATGATGGTCTTTGTACACTCGTAATTGGGCCATGGAAACCTGGAGCATATTATCCATTATTTATTTATTTACATTCTATAAGAGGAGCAAGTTCAACTAAAGATAGGTCTACTTAAGAGTGATTAAATTACCTATAACGAACATGATGATTGGGAGATATTTTGCAATACTGACTATTTATATGTTATTTGGAGAGCGAGGGGTTACTTTTTTCCACTTTACAATTAGCAAATTTGAACCAGCTTTTATACCTCCCTGGTCTGGCTTTAAGCGCCTGGAAGGTGGAATTCATGGATAGTTCTACCACCAGCAGCCCCTGTCGGACAAACATTGATTCCTCTTTTGTATGACACCGATTGTCATCGGAAATTTTCCCATCAACAAATTAAAGTTATGTGATTTCATTTCCTAATAATTGTAGTAAAAAACACATGTTTTGCATTTTGGAAACTATAAATTAGGCCGTCCCCTTGTTTCCCTACCCCTGTTGGCAACCTCAATTGAAGCCACCATTGGAACTGGGTCGTTCCTTGATCAGTGTATGACGAAGATTTATCGATTTGGAAAACCGGAATATGACGGAACATAAATTGATTTTGATTTAACTTCAGTGTTTATAAACTGACTTCTGTACATCTCGATTTTCATGTGACTTGCCGCCTACCAGTACAAGGTTACCCACTACCACAACGAAATTCATATATCACGACCCTATTACGCGTGCCACGAGACGTAGTCCCCGCCCTATGAGCAAGTCCATTTCCATTATAGGTAAACATTTTGTAAAATAACTACTGTACAAAGTATTTTAAGTTTTAGTGAAATGATAAAATATAAATACTAATTTTTAATTTGTTACAAAAATCTGATAAAATTTTAATGTTGTATAAGAAAGATGATATGAATTATTTGCTCATCACAAAGTTTCACCCACTTGGATAATGAAACAATCTATTTGTCAAAGTATCCGCCGATTTTCCACTGAATGTTTACAGTTAGCTGATATGCTGTGTGTTGGTGCGGTGTAAAGTGTACGTGCTTGGACTTTAAGATAACTTCTTAGTTCCTTGTAGTTAGGAAGTTGGTCTGTTGCTTTCTTTCGACAATATGTACCCAACAAGATTACCAATTGGAAATAAACTGTATGACTAGTAGAATGGTCATTTTTGAAATGTTAAACTTTCGGCCCAGAGTTGGGCAAAACTGTTTATCTGTTCTTCGGACAGGGTTACTTTGCCATTCTAGAACGCTAAATAGTTGTAGCAGACATGGCGGCGGTACATGTTTGTTGTACCTGTTGATTGTGTTTTCTCTTATCGTTTCTGGAAATTGTAAATATTCAAGCGATGAATGTGACTGGAGAGGAGCGTAAGTATAGTGTGTCTGTACTAAAAGATTTTACTTAACGCTAGAGAGTGATTTTTCAGTAAGCATATCCATATGTGTTAAATGTGGCCGAATTTAAACGGTCCTACACGTCCCCGGTGGTAGATTTATTTGATGGAAGGTAACATACGCTTTAGACTTTTAGACAATTTACAAAAATGAGCTTTAAATAATTATATAACCATCATTTCCTTCTGTTCCACTAAAGGATGGACCAATCATTATTAATTAAATTTAATTTATGAACTTTCGCTTGGTTCATGTACTAAAACTTGGAAAGGATGAAACAGTTATCCTCTAGTCAATGAGGTTAAATTTTAAAATTAGAAATCTGCATCTATATGAAAGTGCAAGATACCCATTCACCCATTGTTAACAATTATTACAAAGGTTACAAGTTTCATGAGTTGTTTTATCAACAAATTTTAGATTTTTATTGCAATGGAAATTGTAAAAAATTATATAAAAAAAATGTTTGAATACTAAAAGTTTAAAATATATTCATTAGGTAAATATTGTAAACATATGGATGGATGAGATTTTCTCATCAGTATTCTTGAAAATGATCAAATAGATCGAAATGTTGAATCTCAAAATGTCTGTGTCTTTCGGAGTTACTGTCTTTTTGTTTCATTAGGTTTGTGTCAAAAAGAATACTCTACTGCTACCATGATATCATTATTAACTGTATTATAAGGTGTTTAAATTAAAATGTGTACCACTTATAAATGGCTACAGAGTAAATAACCATGGTATATTATATTCTGTGAATTTTAATATTGGGTCCTCAGTTTCAAATGTATTGCATATATTATAATAAACAAATGAATTGTGTAGGCCAGTTTAATTTTTTTATATTCCAGAATTTGTACTTTTCTAGTGTTTACATTTTTTCAATGTAAGCTTGCCAAAAAGTATGCATTATTGGACAAAAAATGCTTGATTTAAAAAAAATTACAAAATTAACTTTTTTGTTTATAGCACTACCGGTACAGGAAGTAGTGTGAATAATGTTTATAATAATTTACGTAAATTGCTTAAATTTCCGTACTGATGTATGTGCAATTCAACTGTTTTTAGTTGTGAATAAACTATATTGTGTTGTATTAAGTAAAAATATTGTAACTGTCTAACATACTGTTTTGAGCAGTGATCTTTGTTGTTGATTATTTTCAACCTGACTCCACAGAACGTATTTTCTTTTCTGGATTTGTGCCCTACAGCAAAGATAACGAGAAGATCATTAACCTTATGCTTTACCTTTTCTGGCATTTGATTGGTCGATTGAGGATCCTGGGGTGTTCTTAAGTGTACCCCTCCAGGCAATGTCAAGTGCAGAGTTCTGGTTCCCTCATCCTTTGACCCTCATTTTCGGTTCTAGCAACAGGAACCACTTGCAAAAGTTGTTTTGTAATTAACAGAGTTTAAAAGATATTAAGTTACTACACACATAATTCACTTGAAAATTCACCTGATTTTTCTAATTTTCATTTTAATTCTTTATTTTTCCCACTTGGATCAATTCAAATCAGGACTAAATATGTAAAAATAATAAATGCAAATTTACCTACAATATTATATATACTACATATGTACTGTAAATCTAGAAGTTTATCAGAAGCATAAACATAAATCCAACATATTTATATCAATTATTGATATGCAATGAATGACTTTGGTGACTATTAATTATCACAGTTCCCAAACTTGCTTTTAGTTTTTGCATACAAGGAATGTACACACCCACAGGGTTCTGGTTGATATCAATTCTGGAAATTATGTGCCTACATTACTTTTGTTTATAATTTTACATGTATATGCCATGGTATTATTTCATCACTGCAACTGCCAAATTAATAAAAATAGTAATTGATCAATACTGTACATGTACTTGGAATGATATAAAAATAATGATTTAAAGTATAAAAAATTAATGCATTATATATACAATATTATAAAGTGATAGAAGATTGAAAAACATGATGCAAAGTGGTATTTTAATTTTAAACATAAATACTGTAACTATTTATTTTTACAATAAAATTAATACTCTGAAAGAATTTTTTGTGAATAATTTCTAAAGTCTTATAACACTTTTGTACTTCACCGTGGCCTATTTTTCAATAAAAAATCTATGATGCTAATATATCTTTTTTTATTTACAGTGGTCTCACAGAAGAATCATCGTTGCGTACAGTCAAGCAGCTTTACCTACAGTGTTCACGAGGCCGAATTGAATGGCGTTATCCAAGTGGCGCTATTCGCATCACGTTGCAATATAGTCCTAAAGGCACGGAGTTCCGTGCATGTATTAAACCCTCGTTACGTAGTCAGGGGGCAAACATTTATACTGATGTTCCTCAACAACTTCAACTTTTAATAGCTGATAAAAGTACGTCTTTGGACTCAAGTATGACATTAAATTCAAACCAAGAGAAGAACTCACAAGAGACGCACTGTTTTCATTCCATAAACGGCAAAGCTGCAATATTTATAGAAGCAACGCCAAACATGCTTGCATCTAAAATGGTAACAGAATTAGAATATAGTTTAGAACCTATAGTACCAGAGTTGGAGCAAGACCCTTTATCAGGTATGTCTAACTTTTGTTCAATATTATTTAAAATATTTTTATTTTTTTGACTTGATCTTACTGTACAGTTAATTTAGAGTAAAAATGTAAACAGTATACTTCCTAGCTTTCGTTGCTATCTCAGCATTTTTAATTATCATCGTCATCAATATTATGAATTTAACCTGTTTTTTGATGCTGGCATACTGTAGGCTATTAAATTTCACTGCTTGAAAAAATTGTTTTTTGAGACAACATTACAAGGAAATACATTATTTTTTGCAAACAAAATCTGACACCTCATTTTCAAGATTTGGGTTTGGATGATTCATGTAGGTTTAATTATACCACCAGTTCAAGAAAAAAAGTCTTTTCATATTTCTTCAATATGTGGAGTGGCTGACACTTGTTAAAATACATATACCCATTTATATTGTGCATGAAAGTATAAGCATCACTGCCAAGGCGACCTGACCTGATCGGACAAAAGCCCTTCCATGCTATTGTGCATGCTCAATACTTAAGAATTTATATTGTTTGTTCTTCAGGCACTGTACCTAAAGAAACCTTTCTTCGTAGTCACATTTCAAAAAATAACACGATAACAATGCGTCTATAGTAGTTGCTGCTTTTGACATGGTTTTGGTAAATTTTGTAAGCTTCTCTAGAGATGAAATTTCTAATAATTTAATAAAAAGTCTTGGTTGCAGTGTTATCAAACTTGTGAATGTACTAGGATCAACAGGACTTAACTTCCACAAAGGACCATGAAAGCCCAGTAGATTATCACTTGAGAATCCATTGATATGGGTTTAACCTAAAATCTTTATAAAAAGACTTAAGGTAGACACGACAGCCATCGGCCGCGATGATGTGCGTAACGGATCCTTTTTATTGATGATCCGCTCAGACTGCTGCCGACAATCACCTGACTACATCGCATCGTCTATCACTCAAAGAGAGTGGAGTTGGATTCATCGTACGATGGTCTACGACGCAGTGCTCGGTTTTAAGATTGCCCCTCCATTGTTTTGGGCACATTCTATTTGCTTCAAACTGGTGTGAGCTCAAGACAAATTCACTTCTAAATCGATTAATCTTAGCAGAAATCTAGGATTTTTCATTAACATTAGGCAAGACCATTTTTATACCTTGTTTAGCGAACCCGCAAACAAGGTATAAAAACTGTAAATATTGATAATTTTGAATAAAAATTAAATTTTATTTTTGGCCAATTAGCGCACCTGCCGACAAGAAAAAGTGGAAATTTCAGAAAAAAATAAAATGTTTTCTTTATTTTTATTACGCCCTCCACTGCCTTGAAATCTCCAAAGATAAGATATATATATATTTCTTCCTAATTATATAAATTTGAAGCATTTAACCATCCTATTTTACATTCACCAATAAAATTTTATTTTTATTTTCTCCTCCGTCTGGATGATTTTGGCAAATCTATTTGCTATTTAAATAAGAAAACAGAATTTTATTTTAAATTTTATTCCGCCCTCCAATAATCTTTACAAAAATAAGTACGCGAAACAAGGAATAAAAAAAGTCTCACCTTATCTATATTGTTAGATGATAGAAGCATTCTGTCTTGAAAGAAAAACAGGTCTTACAACACATTGGCTAGCATAGATTACAGTAGTGTTGCAACCATGCAAGAATTATTCGTTGTTGGTAATCCATATAAAAAATCACTAAAACAGAAGTGGCACAGTCCTGTCATAAAGTTTGCCAAGCCAAAGTCAGATATACTGTAATTAAGCTCATTAGAAAATTGTTGAATTAGTTGTGAGGAAAACAAATTTCAGGATTGGAAGGCGAGTCTATCTTCACCAAGCTGTGTCCGATCTCCAAAAATATATAAAAAAATAAAGACTTAATAAAGCAATAAACAAAACAATCAGCTGAGCAACATGTACTGTACAACAAAACCTACATGGTTAAGTTGATAATTAGCATAATATTATACATATTGAAGTATTTTCATAAAGTTATTAATTGTAATGTTTTTTATAATGTTTATAATTATACTAAAATAGTTATATTATCTTGTATGAAGGTCATTATTTGGGAACCATGTGCTTTCCGTGTTGTTAACATTAAGACATATATTATGAATAACTGAAGTAAACCGCAAATGAGTAATGTTTAAAAAACGATTATATAAAAATAGATGATGACGAATGATAAATACACAGCTTTTACAACAAACCAATATTGATTACGGATATCACAAGACAATTTTTCAAACAATTATAATAATTATAAAGTGTTAGATCAATAGCACAGAGGATTGCAAATGTTGTGTTTGTTTTTAATTATCAGCCATTGAATTTTTATTGAGTGAAACTTTAGTGAACTAGCCATTATTCTGTGTAGCATTTTAATGTAAGAATTTTACACCTGGATGGGGTTATCAGTGCATTAGTAATTCTCAAAAAGCGGCAACCTACGTACTTTGTGTGTAAATATGCTAATCTGTGTCTCACAATCCTAAGGTTGTTTCCTTCAGATCAGGATTAGTGTCTCCACTAAGCTCCAAAAATTTCATCTTAAAAAAAAAATCAACATTTCTTTTCAAAAACTTTTATACAAAATTTTATGTCAAAAACATAATAAAGAATTTATGTTTTTATTTGATTGAAATTTCTTAAACAACAGTTTTTGTGTGTGGTTTCGATCAAAGACTTGATTACTTCTGTCAGCCATAGACGCTCTCTGTGACAACCATATACTTTGTTATTAAAATAGACTCTAAATCCTAGTGTCTTTCTGTGCACTTGGATTTGGGAAATTTGTCAAATGACACCATCATGTATTGAGGATTAGCCATTTTGGGCAGCAAATGACACTTTTGTTTGTGGATTAACTGTTTTATCTGTCATAGTCCACTGGCTTGTAGTAATACTGTTTTATCTGTCATAGTCCACTGGCTTGTAGCAATACTGTATTACTACAGTACTTGCACTAATCAATACTCAATTCTATAATGGGAGCTTCCCTTTCTCATTTCAGTCAAAATTGCCCGCATTCACATTTCAATCATAATTGAGAACAATTTCCCAGGGAGCTTTCTCCTTTCAAGTATAATGCAAATTCTTTCAAAAAATTACAATCGGGAAGAACCATTTCTAAAATGCCTTTTAACAATGTCTGATACAATGATAGCACTGACAGTTACTGAACATTGGTTTTACCTGTGTGCGATGTTCCTCTCAGAACCTTTTCCCACACTATATGAAATCAGAACCGTTTATTTAATCACAAATGTACAAAATTAACTGATAACAGAGCTGATAAAGTTGGCTATCAAGTGTTTGTTCATAATAAATGAAATTTAGCTGGATTGGCTCTAGATTGAGTTCATGTTTGGTTTAAATCCTCAACTTTCAGAAAAATTATATTGTTCTAATGTTTTTAAATTTTGAAAGCCTTGCTTCTAAATTGTACAAAATGCTTGTTGGAATAAAAGTTAAAAATGTTTAAGTAATATTTACAGTACAGTAGGTCAACAGAGCACAATACATAATGCAAGGATGCTTTATAGCAGGCCATACTTTGTATAAAACCAATTACAGAAGAGACATTATAGTAAAAAGTATAACTATACAACAAAAACACAGATCTCCGTCCATGCCAGCGAACATGTAATAAGACTTGGCACTTGGTAAATGATTGATTGATTGATAAGATTGACTGATTGAAATATGGGCTAGCCTGGGAAAAATGCAAAAACATTATACAAGATTTAAATTGTAAATTTGAATTGCTGTGTCAATTGTGAAGTTCCTCAAGAGGTTTTCACAGCTTCTTCAAATCTCCCGCAATTTTCGAATCCACTAAACTATCCCAAGTTGCATTGTATCTTTGCCGCTTTATTTTAGCATGTTTACCTAGGAATTTCCCCCTATAGGTACAAAACAAAGGCTCTTAATTCCCAGATTGTCATAAGGCCTACACTCTACTATCCTGATTTGTGTCTATTGTGTTCTGTTGACATGAAGGGCTTGGTCTGGGTGGGAAAAAGCTAGCCTACAGGTATGTGACAAGCAGGCTTAATTGTAAAGGAGAAAATCTTTCACTCCTCTCTTACCTGACTAATTGATAAAGAGGTGGGAATTTATATGGCTAGTTTGGTTGTAGACCTGTTAAAATGTTGGTAAAGTAATGAATAGGCCTATAGTTAATTTAAAAATATAAGTATACAATTGGTTTCCAAGTTTACAACCTGTACATATACTCAGTTCTATAAAGGTAGTTCATTTATGTATTAAAAGTAATTAAAATTGTGTAAAAAGTAGTATGATTGGTGAACCGGAATTTTTTTCTGACTGAAATCAAACTAATTTAATTGTTCAAAAAACTCATAATTGTCATGTTTGTTACAACCATTTTCATACCATGTCAACATAAATTTGTAGTATCCTAAACCTACCATTGTCAGGATTGGAAAAATCTACACGTTTAGCCATTCTGCACGCGTGCTTGCCCCACCCTTGTGCACACCTGTGCTGTCCTTTGTATCAAAATTGCTACAGAACAACGAAAACCATCCATTGTCATGTTACAAGATCCGAGCAAACAAATATCATTGAAAAGATTATTGATTGTACAAAACAGCCAGATTTCAAAACAATTGGATTTGGGAACAATCGCAGCACTTTTAATATACATCGGCCTTTTGTTGTTTTACCTAAACAAACTCATCCTGTATAAACTTGCGAGTTAATTATGTCTCATTAGACGCCAATAGTTTGTGCATTGATTTGGTAGATGCGCAAGCTGCAGTGACACATTTCAACTACGTGTATTGATACATATTGATTGTTGAAATCAATGGAACTGTTTACAGCGTCCGAAATGTTACGCCTATTACAATAGCTCAGCATTTGCTTAATTAGTGCCGGGATACTGACAGTCAACTAACTTGGAATATCTGTTACAATAATATGCTGTACTGTAGGCCTATACTGTTAATTATTGATAAAATCTTCAGAACTCTTGATCTTGTC